CGGAAAGCTACATGCTATTGAAAACGGATTTGTTAACTATAAATTATAAACAGAAATAAAGAACGCGAGAAGTTGACTCAGAAACGTGATATCAAAACAAAAAACTGTCACCACTGAATAAAGACATTAACATAGTTCGTGATTCGAAACAAATTGACCAACTTCAAAAGTGAGACAAAGTTTGTATCTATATAATCCGGTTGGGGTGTTTACGGCGATCAATCACTGGTCATGAAGATAAAATAATGTGTCGTACTAAGAAAACAAACGCAACGATGAAGACAAAGAAAACGTCCTTATGGCAACGGGAAATAACTTTAAAAAACGTTTTATTTTGAAATATGTATATATTTTTGTAAAATAAGACTCCCCCGTACAACATCAATAAATACGTTCAGAAACGTGTCACGTCTCGCTGATCTCACATTTGGGGATTAAAACATGCATGATGGTTCCTCTGGGCACCTGACAACAATCAAAGCCATTTGAAACCATTAGCAACACTCTTCCACGAAAATAAAATAGGTGAAGTATAGTTTAAATTAAGTCCGACGAAACATAAGGTGAGTATTGGGTCGAGGTCTGAACGCCTGATGGTGGACGCAGTCATCTAAAAAAAACTGGTGCCATTAGGATCTGTTATCTTCAGAGTTTGACGGGGTAGGTATGGGCTACCTCAGTTTATATTTTGAGTCCTCTTCAGTGTACAAACTCTACTCTTGTGGGCACAATGGCTGAAAGTATCAAATCCAGAGTGGAAATTAATAGACGGGATGAAGCGTCAACACTGTGATTAATTAGAACGCACGCCAAGTATAAAACACCAAACCAATGGCACAGTGTAATGGCTTATTGTAATGGCTTATTGTAATAGCTTATTGTAATGCCTTATTGTAATGGCTTATTGTAATCGCTTATTGTAATGGCTACTTGTAACAAATTCTTTATGATTCGTGGTGTTCACTTAAATTCCCGGGCGCCCCACAATTCAAGCAAAACCCGCAATGCACATTGTTTGGTTCTGTATTTCGGCCTCACACCGCTGGTCACCTACTGAATCCTGGACTATTTCCAGCCATCTCGGCCAAGTAAGTCTTACCGTTGGATCAAATAGGCAAGGGCGAGAGAGTGAGGCTGACGAATTGAGCAACTCTCCCTAACTTTTAAAAAAAAAAAAAACACCCTAGATCTCGAGGCTGTCATTCAAGGAAATGGTAGCCTCGAAACTGTAAGGCGTTTTTTGTAATTGTTTTTTTTTACTTGAATGGTGGCTTGAGGCTACGATTCAAGTAAGAAAAAAAAATGTTGCCTCGGCCATCTTTGCGTGCGAAGGACGAGCAAAATTCAGGGTTTAAAAAATTTCTCTGAGGTTTATTCCAAAAGCTTAATTTACATGAAATTACTACAATATATTTTACGTATAGTGTAAACTTTATTTTCTCCCTTGGACGTATCTGAATGCATTTTTTAAAAAAATAAATAAAAAAATAAAAAATAAATTCTGTATTTAGAGCAAACCAATTTATTTTTTTTTTCTGATTTTCAATTTGTGTATTACCAAAGGACAGAAAGACACCACATAAACAAGTTCATATCCTAAGTGGTGGTCATAAAGTACACAACAAGAACAACGTCATGTGCTGAATCTTACATCGTAAAAGTCAACAAAATAACAAATGCATATGCTCAAATTTATATCGTTAATTCTGTTTTGGGACATTTTTGTCTTTTCCCTCCATATTTAATAGTTCATCCCTAGGTACAAGAGCATATTATTTTTTTTCAAATTTAATGTCTTCATCAACTCTCTTCAAAAGAATGTTTCCCTCAAACTGGAATCCTCATGTTTAAGGTGTAATTTAAGAGAATTTACATTTTTATAAAGATCACAACAATGTTTTTTTTTCTTAAACGTGTTGAACAAAATCGGTGCTAACAAATTGTAAAAAAAATATTTAAAAATATGTTTTTAAAAACGCACGCGCAGGAATTGGTTTGCAATGGATGAGGTGAGTTTTGAAGTAACTTAAAGGGAACTGTAAACCATCTTATCCTCCTAAAGAAAACGTCACGCCTTGTGATTTCGTCCTGCCAAATCTACAACATCGTTACATTTTGACTGACGGATGCCAGAACATTAGAAAATATTTAAAACATGAAACATTTCTAATGCTCGGTTCACATGATCGAATTTGCGTTAAAATTTTGGCATTAACGCACTATTTTGAACGTGATATTCATAGGCGATTCATCATTAAATCAGAAGAATACATTTGTGTAAAATGTTGTTGTTTTTTTGTTGTTGTTGTTGTTTTCTTTTTGGGGTGTTAAAATTTTGGCATTGTCGCACTTTTTTGAACGGGATTTCTTTTTTTCCTTGTTTTTCTGGGGGTTGGGGGGGGGGGGCGGACAAAAAGCAGAATTTGATCAAATAGTAATTTGTGACAAGACTTCATATAATAACGCCACAAATGTATGATTGGAAATCGATAGTGTGAACTGAGCATAATAATGATATCTTCTGTGACTAGTCACATGCTTGTATGTTCGAAAGCCTCAAGTCAAAGAGATTTGAGCCGAATCCTCCAAGAGGGGATTAAATTAACCTTTGCGTACTTTATTTAACTTTTTTTTTTCTTTTTATGTGGTGGAAAAAAATCTTTAAACTCACTAACAATTATAATTGATTCTAACACAGCAAACCTCTTTTACTGCTGCTGACTCCGGCGAGCTGAAGCGAGAAGACACTTTTAATAGGCTTCTCTTTCTTTTTGCAGCGGCAGACACAGTTTGGGATGTAGACGAGAAACAGGACCAGTCCCGATAGAATGTAGAAGAAACCGCTCAAGTAAAAGGTGTAGTTGTAATTGCCTCTCACATCTGATACCCAGCCTAGAATTCAAGGAGTCCATTAGATCAATGATATTTTTAAAAAAAATTAAAGCTTAAGTTTTATTTAGAAAAGCCAGTAGCTTGGCCCGTTTTTGAAATAACTCTTACCAAAGAACTAGAAAGGGGAAAAAAAAGTTACCATAACATTGGTAAAGACTCTAGTCCGAGTTACTGTTCACTAATTCTCCACGCTACTTCCACTAACGAAACAATTAGATGTGCATCCGAAGATCTAACAAACATTCTTAAGGTGAAATTTACGAGACTTCACATTTCTACAAAGATAACAATTTTTTTTTTATAATCATTACAAACGTATCGGTGCTAAGAGAAACAACTTGGCAAAGAGAAACAACTCATGTCTAATTGGGTATTAATGGTTATCCCACTTGGATTTGGGTTTTAGTCACAGTAAGGCAAATAATTGGATTATGAAAAAGGTTTATCGCTCTAAGCGAGGATAGGCTCATAAAATAAATAAAAAAGAAAAGGTTACATGGCATTTTACAACTGCATGTTTATTATTGGCTTCTTCCAATAAATTAATCAATCTTTTGTCGTTTTGATTGTTAAGAAAGACATATTAAAATTCGATTGGATTCAGTGGTGTAGAAAGGGGAAGTGCGGAAAAAGGGGGGGGGGGGGTTGTACCAGGCGTCAATTTTGTTCTTGATATGGAGGAGGTGGCATTTTCGTAAAACTTTAGAGTTTTTTTCGTGGAAGGGGTGTGGCGAAATTCTTGGCCCGTCCCAGGCGGCACTAGACCTGGCTACGCCCCTGATGCAATTCTTCTCATTCACAATCTTGAATTATCCTCTAGCTCAGCTCTCCCCGCCTCGTTTCAAGTAGTTAGCTCCGAGATAGAGTTGACATCTTCTGCTAGGATTCTTGGTTACATTCAAGACAACTTGTCGTTCAATAATCAGATTTCTCACATCTCTCGCCCTGCTTGCACAGCTATCCGTCAGATCAGCTCCATCCGCCCTTACCTCACAGCACAACAAAAACACTAACTAGTCTGTGCTCTTGTTCTCTCTCGTCTTGGCTATTTTAACTCTCTTCTGTCGGCTTCACCAAAACATTTCATAGAAAAACTGCAGAAAGCTCAAAACTCAGCTGCTAGGTTAGCTCTAAAGGCAAAGAAACGTGATCACGTCACTCCACTACTTCACTCACTTCATTGTCTCCCTTTACAGGCACGCATTGATTACACGCTGTCTTGTTTTTTGTCACAACTTTTCTATGATGCCTGCCATTTCTATCTTACTGAAATTCTTTCTGTCTATTCACCCTTTCGAAAGCTTCGTTCCTCCGCAGACACGCGTATTCTTTCTGTTCACAAAACGGGAAGTAAAACATATGGTGAACGATTTTTCTCTTTCTGTGCCCCCAAAAAATGGAATTCTCTCCCATTAAACATCCGCAATATGCTGACCATCTCAGTCTTCAAAACTTTCCTCAAGACCCATCTCTTCAAACTCTACTATAGACCCCCCCCCCTTTTTTTTCTAACTGATAAACAACGCTCGATGCTGCTCGGTGCTGTCCATGGCTAGACAGGGGTTGGTAGCACTTGGGTGGGTGCTGTCCATGGCTAGACAGGGGTTGGTAGAACTTGGGTGGGTGCTGTCCATGGCTAGACAGGGGTTGGTAGCACTTGGGTGGGTGCTGTCCATGGCTAGACAGGGGTTGGTAGCACTTGGGTGGGTGAAGTCAAGCTTTTTACCAATTGTTATTTTTAAATCTAAAATTTTATGTAACTGCTAATTTTTATGTGAAATGCAGTGTGCCTACCCCTAGGCTGGGGTCATGCGCAATATAAAACCACCTTAGTAATAATAATACTAAATAATTCATTTCATTGTGTCAAAACAATGTAAATGAATCGTTTTCATGTGTCTAAACAATGTAAACGAATTCTTTCCATGTGTGTAAACAATTTAAATAAATCCTTTCCATTTGTCTAAACAATGTACTTGAATCCTTTCCATCTGTCTAAACAACGTAAACGAATCCTTTCCGTGTGTCCATTCAATGTAAACGAATACTTTCCATGTGTCTAAACAACCTTTTCAGCTGCATTTCATACAAATATTAAACAACGACTTACCAGCAAAAGGGGGGCCCAGGAAATTGGCGATACCTTGCGTTAACATAAGCAGGCCGTACGAATTAGTCAAATTCTGCAGTCCCAGGTACTTAACGAGTAGGACTGTCGTCAAAGGGTAGCTGACGCTTATGCAGAATCCGAACAGTCCGTAAGCGATGGAATACTCTGTGAAATTTCTCAGAAGAGGAATCACGGCCACGAACAGCCCAGCGAGAGCAGAGACGATTGCATACACATTGAGTATGTTTATGTTTAAATCTCCTATTACGCCGAATATCACTTGGCCAAGAGTGTTGAAAATGCCAATGATGGACAGGAGGAAAGCGGCCCGTTTGGAGTCGATACCGCTTTCTATAGCGTGGTCCGCCGCGTACATGTACGGAACATCACTCCAGAAATAGTACAGAAAGTTTGACAGCAGGAAAGACAGCACAAACGAATTGCACAGGAGTGAGCAGTCGATTAAGTTTTTTACTATATCTATGAAGTATGAAAAATTGGATCTTATTCTTTGGGCGAGGAGTCGTTTCTTAGAACGGTCGATACCTGCTTGAGGGAGCTCCGGACAGCTCGTGCCGACTGTGCACGAGTGTGCGAGACTGTTGGTGCGAAGCAGACGACGAAAGAAAATGTCTTTTCTGTAGAGCGCAAGGTGGGTGCCGAACTTGTTCCTGAGATACATTCCCCTTATGAATTGTGGCGCCGTCGATCTGCCATCCACTTTGCTGTCTACAGAACTGTGGTCATCTTTATTACCGGTTGATTTTAATAAAGAAGACAGTTCTAAATATGTTCCTACTGTGCTTTTCTTCAGCGTCAATCTTTTAGAATATCTGTGACTGCTGCGACTGCTACTCAAGGGCAGTGGCTCCTTTGCATGCTTGAGTTTCATTTCGGCTGTCTTTAGCGCATGACTAGCTCTGGCCAGGAGAATGCTCCCTTTCGTTACTTTCCCACTGAACATAGTATGCATCGAACTGGTATTTGAAAATATCTGCTTCACATCGCTATTTTCTGGAGAAAGTAAAACTTTGTTATCGGTAGTGGCCCCGGATAAATTGGAGCAGGCTCTGTCGACACTACTTTCTTTCCACCACAATGACGTGCCCGTGAACCAAAGAAAACGAGACGGTGCTGCTAATGGAGGTTTTGGTTTGTTTATGATCTCCATATAATCGTGCATAAAGTTCGCCTGCACCATTGCGTTGCTCATGTATCTGTTTAAGGTCAGATGAGGGTTGTTCCCAGTTCTTAGCGCTTTCATTAGAGCCTTGGAAGGTTTGGTCGAAACACTGCTTGTTACAAATGTCGGTACGTTCAGTAAAGACATCGTGTCCCCAACCTCGTCCTCTGCCGAAAGAACATCCACATGGAATGAATCTCTTTGCAATTCAATATCCTTTCTGCTTTTCGGAAGTTCGTTGAATTTCCTCAGAAACATATCTCGTCTCTCGGCTCTTGTGAAATGAAGCGGTCGGAAGAGCATGCCACAGACTACAAGATTCAAACACACCCCTCCCATGATCAGAAATAGGCCTCTTAGATCGTAGGTGTCCACGAGGTAATCCATCATTGGAGCAAACGTAAAAGTTCCGACCCCTGTGCCGCACACGGCCATGCCAGTGGCTAGAGATCTTCTCTTGTTGAAGTAAAAGGAAACAATCACAATGCTCGATATGTAGCAGAAGGAGAATCCCGTTCCGACGATGACGCTGAACGTCACGCAGAGAATATCAATGCTCGGGGCGAACATGCTGAGAATCATGCCAAGGCACGAGAGTAGACCGCCTATGACCGTCATCTTCCTGCAGCCGTAACGCGATGTCAGTGCGCTGGCCATCGGCCCCAAAGTCATCGAGACGCCAAAAAAGATGCTGCCGACCAAAGACGTTTTGCTTTTGCTCTCTTTGAACTGAACCAGGAGCTCCGAGTAAAGGACACCGAAGCAGTAGGAGACGCCATCGCATATAAGACTTACAGTGAAGGCTCCAAGTACGACAACCCACCCCCAGCCTCCATCTAGCGCCGTGGGTATTGGCTCGTCCTCGAAATTTTCACAGTCCCCGTCGAGTCGTCTTTTCTTTTTCTTGTTGTCCGCGCCATCCCCTGCCACATTTAACCAGCTGTAGCATCTATCGGGATTAACGTGTAGCCTCCCGCCAGGTCCTTCCATTCTAAAATGTCCCAAGGTAACCCTCTAGTATTTTAAGAAGGGTACTGTTATTGACCGGGACAGCCATGATTATTGATAAATTTGAGAATACGTCAATATTTTTTCCCCCCGATCTTTATGATTATTTCCAATCATTACGATTATCCTGTGATAACCTGTTATCTTAGGATTATTCTGCAATCATCAATTATAAACAGCGATTTTTCATTGAAAATCTTTCGGTAAACGTCCACACAGTTGCTGACTTAAAGACACGTGACGGTTGTTTTACTTGCACTGGTACCAAATAAGTCGACGATATCACGGAATTCAGTTTCCATTTTCAAGTACAGAGACACCGCTACTTATGCTGGTAGATGTCTCTTTAAAGAAAATGTATGTACCGACATTCCGTTTGCGTTATCTTTTGGTTACTAATGGCGAATCCCCTTTACGTAAACAAAAACGGCGAAGGAGAAATCGTCCTTAGATAAAATCTTGCTTTTCATATAAAACATTTCATGCTACGAATATTTCAACGGGATTGAGTTTGCGACATGTTCTTTCCGGCCGCACTAATGAACAGCAACATCAAAAGAAATAAAATTTTGTTTCACACATACGCTGAATAAAATATTGAACGATTACGTCCATAAATTGTTATGATGAGGTAGTGAAGCTAATCTGGAAAATATTAAACTAATGATTATTTCCGCTAAAAATACTTCTTCCTCTTCGGAAATGTTGTTTTGTTTTGTTTACTTTTCTAATATCTTTAAATTGCAGGGTTTGGGGGGGGGGAGAGAGAGAGAGAGAGAGGGAGAGAGAGAGAGAGAGAGAGAGAGAGAGAGAGAGAGAGAGAGAGAGAGAGAGAGAGAGAGAGAGAGAGAGACAATTGTTCAGTTTTTCCTGAATTTATAGTTCCGTTTCGTTTTGGTCTGTTGAGCACCTGCTTTGAAAATGAGCCATATTATATCATCAAATGTTAGCTTTGGTGAAGATCACTTCGTTTATATCTGAGAGGAATACTTGTTATATTTCCATCTTTTTTAAAAATAAATACTTTATGTTTCTTGTCAGTTCTCCATCTGTCCTGTCTGCTTTGGAAGACTCTTAATCGATACGTTATTCTTGCATTATCCTGTCTTTTTATATTTGAAGCCTCCACATACCTTGTTCTTCTATTTCCTTCACGCAGCTGGAACGCAGTCCTTCATGTATTATTCTTCATATGTTCCTCACTATGAGTTAATTATCTTTAAACCCCTGTGAAGTAGTAGAGATGTCACATCTGAACATTGCAGAACAATGTGAACACCAACATGAAATTTTAGAAAGATTTTTACACTTTGTCGACACGAGCAATAAAACAGTATACGACATATCACGGGCAACATTTAATGAACCCCATATTCCACTGTCAAAATGTCGCGCACAGGGCTATGACAATGCAGCCAACAAGACAAGAAAATATAAAGATGCCTAAGCAAAAATACTTAAGTAATGTGAAACAGCTTTATTTTCCCCATGGGAATGCAACACAATGTGTGTGGAAATGATGTCTCGGAATGCATTCCTGAAGTCATAACGTTGGTGCTGTACAAATAATTTACATATTGTTTAGATCTAGTCCACAGCGATGGGAAATCTTGCAGAAGTGTATTTGGCTGTTCTCTTCACAGTCTGTTTTACACACAATGGTCAGACCATATTGAACGTATAAAGTCATTTGCCATCTGTTCATCAAGGAAAGAAAGGGCCAACTGAGTCCATGAGAATATGCAATCTGGAAGTAAACTTTCCAAACATGTGTCTACCTCCGTATTCTTTCTATTAACAGTTCCTGCCACTATCGCGTCTGCAGAGCCTTCATTCAGCAAACAACATTTGATAAAAGATAATATATAACATCGTCTATGTCACAGGGGCGACTTTAAGATTTGGCAAGACTCAGTATTTAGTATGATCTTACAAAAACGACTGATTCTAATGGCGTTGTTCTTAATTTTGCTAGAAATAAGGCTAAGGAAACACCTTAGTGAAGCAGAATATAAAAGGGGGCATCATTTCAGTTTTTCGGGGGGTGAAAGAACAAAAACAAAACTTGGTCGACTTGTTAAGTTGTTAAATCCCGGCGGCGCCAAAGTACTTTGAAATTTAAATAAAATCTGCAAAATCAGGGGGAGGTAAAAGCACAAGGCTTCCCTACTCAAATGACGTCCCAGAATAGAAATGCAATCACATCTCAACTTTAATAACTGTTGTAATAAATTTATTTCTTATGTGTATTGTTTCATTATTGTTTATATACTAAAGTGTATGACTGTTTTTATTATATTTTAAAAAGTCTTTTACAGAAGTACCTGTCCTCTTTGTAATATATTTGAATTATTTGCAAATGAGTTTGAATGTAATTAATACAATATAACATTATTTATTTATGTGTTCATGTGTAGGTGAGGGGGGAACATTTTTAGTCCTTCTTCCAGAACTTTATGATCCTCTCGGTCCCGGTTTCAACCTTGTACCTTTATAATTGTGTCAAGTTAGCAAATTAGTTTTATTTAAAGGAAATTAATTATTAAAATTTTACAAACTAAATATTAAGAAAATAGAAACTAAAAATCCACTCTTGGAATTTTACACTTCCGTGGAATGCTGAATTGAATATGACCCACCAAATAATGGTACACTATTGTCGCAGACACGTTGATGACTTAATTATTCACTTATTGGCGTTGGCGTATTTTGTATTGATTACTTCAGACACTGTCACTAGCTGACATACTTTTAACTTAAATCCATTCGATGGTAATTTGTTCAGAGTAAGTATGTTTATAAAATGTTATCGACAGATGCGTGAGCTTAGTGCTGCTTAGTAAACCTGTTTGGTGTAAAATTAAAATTATTGATTATTATTTTAATGTTTTTATGCTTTTGAATTGCCTAACACTACTAATAAATATAATTATAAATTTACTTCAAATCCAACAAATCCATTTTTGTGTGCTTTAATATAAATTATTTTCTAGAGTTAAGAATTTTAGTGATTTAACTCCTAAAATTTACTTACCTTCGCCTTCAAATATTAGCCTAAATCTGTCTAAAAGGTGAAATTAAATCATTTGTCTTGTGTAAAGTACTAGTAGTAAGTAAGTACTAGTAGTAGTAGTAACGGTAATCTACCACTTCAGAGGAATTTATGAAAAATTATTTTGTTCCATGATGTCCGTACAGTATTTGTCCGTACTTTCCTCTCGTCGCTAGGCTTGTCCGTACTTTTTGCAGTGACGACTTGCTTGTCTTATTTCCATTTGTCTTAATCTATTTCTCCGCAAAGGCAAGTGCAGTGAATAGTTTCAGCTCCATTTGACAGTCCAAAGATAGCATATTTATATCTTCAATGCTGTAAATGTAAAAATATCACGAAATGTTGTCAAGTAGGAATTATCATCATAATCATAATGATACCATTTCTTTTCACAAATGATCTAGCTAAATATTGCTTCAATAGAACTCAGTAGTATCAGTATTACTGTTTTTACTGTTGTTTGTTCGCTGCGGAGGAAATGGTGCCACTTAATATAAAAATATAGAAAAAGTGCCCCCGGGGCGGATCAGTAAAAAAAAAAACCCCCCCCCCCCCCCCCCCTTCTGAAAATGTGGGATTTGATATTTTAATGCACCATTAAGAAACTACCTAAAGAAGATTTTAGCGCCCTCTGTGACTGCCCTCTTTGCCACATTCTCACAGCACCCAGAGTGATGCGCCATTTATTATTGGGACCACCGGTCTGGCCAAACTGTCGGCGGTATAAACCAGCAACACATTTATTTTTTTTCTTGTGACATCAAAATTATCTATAAAATTATTTGATTTTTCTTGTTGTTTTGTATGGGGATGGGGGCTAAAAGCTTCTTGTATGAACAAGTTTGGGGGGAGGGGGGGCTTTTCAAAAAAAAAATTTAAGCACAATACCCCCCGGCTGTTATGGTTCTGGTGCCTATGAACCCTTGTGTTTTTACTTGACATCTAAAAAATCTGGTATGCTTAGTATAGTGTAGAGGGTCACTGGGTTTTCGGTGGCATAGACAGAAAGAGTGGGCGCTGTTTGCTCGTTGAATTGCCAGAATGGCATGCGATCATGTTACAGGATGCACAGAGAGATATATCCTTCAAAGCTCACTTATCATATCAGACAGATGGGCGGCTTATACAAACATAAACCATTTCAGACACAGAATCTTCACACTACGTTATTGTTCAACAAAATTTTGTCAACCCAACTGACGCTGATGTGCACAAACATATGTGGATGCATGCAAACTGAAAAGACGGTTTGGCACAAGCCGCAATATTTTCCGTTCAAATTTGCATGGTTTCATGTCCCACAATTATTTTCCTAGAGATGATCTAAAGTCAAACTTTTTTTTTTTTATATACATTAAATCAGGCCTGCACAACTCAAAATGTAAAGCCGGCCGTAATACTTTTTGAAAAACCAGTGCGGGCCAAAAGAAAATAGGACAGGACTTGTGCGGGCCAAAAGAAATTAGGATGGTGGGAAAGCTATTAAGAAAATAATAAGAATACAAAGTATTTCGTTACTTTGCGGGCCGCAAAGTGGGTGCTGGCGGGCCGCATGTGGCCCGCGGGCTGTATGATGTGCAGGCCTGCATTAAATGGTTTATATTTTTTATTTGAATAATTATTAAATTCTCAACATTTTTATAATTTAAAAATTTTGTCCTTTAGATATGTGCTGAAATTAATATGTAAAATGTCATAAAAAACATTTCCACTTATTTGGATCAATAAAAGAATTTTATCTTATCAATAAAATATAGCACTTCTAACGGGAGCAATATGATATTTTCATAAATGACGCTCATGTGGTATATTACCATAGTAGTATCAGTTTTATATTAAAATGTTTGCAAAAGGGTGTGATGTAACATCAAAAAGATTTTTTTAGTTTTATAACAGCATTTTTCATCAAATCGTTCTTTAAGTGAAGGATGTTTAGTTAATATCATTACAGGCATTACACTAAAAAAACAAAAAATTGATTATTGATTAATTTTTTCTACCAGCTGAAGCTTGCCTGAGAAAACATGTTAGAAGATGCACATCCATTGTTGCAGACTTTACTGGGAACACTGTTTACATGGGGTATGACAGCTGCGGGTGCTGCCCTTGTTTTTATCTTCCGGGGTGCTCAGGTAATACATATGATTATGATATATGCAAGGCACGATAATTAAATTATACTAGGCCTACTTAATATCTGAAATTATACAAACTTAACGTATTTGTACTTTTATAGATATAAATTATAATATTCATTGCAATTTTCACCAGAAATTCTATTGTGCATTATGTACAAAAATTGAAGCCCTTTAAAAAGAAGTAACATTCAACCCACTAATCCAAGAATAAGATATTGTAAAAGTCAGCTACTGTTTCTCTTACATTTCAGGAAATGTTTTTTAAATTTTATGGAACTTCCCTCTCAAAATGTGTTAATTGAGATTATGATCTTGTGGGCTGCCTCTATACTTATGCATAGATATGAATATATTTGCAAATTTATGATAAATGAGCTGAAAATATTGATCCTGGGAATTGTTTTGTGTTAATGCATTGATAAGAAGGAATCATAGTAGTTCATGATAAATCAAACAAAGGTCTATTTAGCAGCTACAGAATGACCCAGAATAGACAGATTTAATGCGCTTCAGTTTTTTTATTAACACGTTGGCAAAATTTCATGTTGTAACTATGATAACAGTATATAATTTATTTGAAATTCTAAATGACTAAATGAAAAAAAAATGAACATATCTATTAACATAAAAATTGGAGGGATTCAAAGTCACCAAAAGGCTTTTTTTTGTTGCTATTAAACTTAAAGCTCATGCTATTGCAATAAAAGTACATGTCTCATGTTTAAATATGAAGGTGTTATATAACAGCATCAAGTTGTATATTTATTAGATACATATACATTTTCTTCCATTGAGCGTGAAGTTAATTTTGTGACTGTATGAATCAACATTTTTTTGCTAGAGTCTTTTTCCTCAGAATATCCAATAATTTTTGGTGTGTTCTTAAATTTCAGAGAAAAATATTAGATGGAAGCTTAGGCTTTGCAGCTGGGGTACGTTGTAATCATGTTTTATTATTTTACTTGTACTATAACTTTAAAAGTTAGCTTTGTTTATTTGCATAGCTGATGTTAATCCAGTAGTAAAGGATGAGAGAGTTGCAATTTTTTGTTTTATCTCATTCTACAATATGCCATCTGTTTATTTTTTAGGTCATGACAGCAGCATCCTACTGGTCATTATTGTCTCCTGCTATAGAGATGGCAGAAAAGTCTGGTGTCTATGGAAGTGAGGGCCAGTTGGCATTCATCCCCATAGCAGTTGGCTTTGCCTTGGGTGCTCTATTCGTCTTTTCAGCGGACTTTTTTATCCCTCATTGTGTAGGTTTTATTTTAAAAGAATTCTTTATCTTACTCAGAGAATTGCAGTTGTATCCTAAAAATAACATTAATTAGAGGCAGCGGTTCTTTCTCTATAGCATTGTTATAAATGTTGGAATAGTATGGAAATGCCGCCATGGAATATTTTTGGATGATAGAATAAATGAATCAGATGCATTTTCTGAAGCATTAAAACAAATTTTTAAAAATTGAGTGTCACATAATAATTTTTTTTAATGTATCATTATTAAGAAACATATCACCAAATTACTTTTCAATTATTAGAATGTATTCATAAAGTAAGGTTACGGTAAAGTATTATATGGCTAATAAAAACAATAATTCCTTTTTCTTTGCAATTTTTCTTTGCTAATGAAGTCCCATAATACCAGAGTTAAATTAGTTAATGAATAATGAATTTTGTTTAATTTCACTAAAGGGAGATCTTATACGTCCTGACAGTGACAGTTCATTTGCATTAACATTAAATGAAAGCCAGAAGCACGGTGACACTTTCAATACTGTCCTACTCACTGTTGATGACAGTTCCAATCCAAAACTCCGTACTTCTCAAGAGCATACTTTAAAAAGGCGGCAACTGGGATCTTCATATTTAGACAATTCCTCACGATCCACGAGCCAGGTCTCAGTGAGTGCTCCAGCTCGTTTAGAGACCGGTATTAACAAAGCGATTAACTGGAGAAGAATGATGTTATTGATAATTGCCATTACTATACACAATATACCAGGTAGGAATATTTTGCACCTTTAAGAAAAAGTGATGATGTATTTATTAGTAGCAGTGATTTATATTTATATTGCTTTAATGGCCAGACTTTAATACTTTAATTTTCATAAATCTTAATGGTATTCTTCTTTTAAATAAAAAGCTAAATGTTTTAGTGTTCAGTAAAGCACACATGAAATGTGAATAAATGCAAATTTTTCTGAAAATTAAATTGAATTTGAACTTAGGAACAATCATGCAAGTAATGTGTCCCTATGCCATATGAATAAATAGCAAAAAGGTTTTTGAAAAACTCTGATAGAATATCAGTTTGAAATAAAGACTCACAATTATGATTTAGTGATTTAGTTATTTCTTTCCAGAGGGCCTTGCTGTTGGTGTTGGATTTGGAGCTATAGGTAAAGCTAGCTCAGCCACAATAGAAAAGGCAAGGTAAGGAATTGCTTGGTAAAAGTAATTACATTAGCCTTTTAAATAACAATAACAAGGAGCAAAAAGTCTGAAGAATGTTATTAAATAGAGTAAAAGTGTTTGAATTAAATCTGGAAAAGACCATGCCGTAATAAATTGATGTGTTGTCAAGAGTTTATAGAAAATGATATACAAGAGTTTTTCTATAATCTAACAGTAAGTGTAACACTAATTATGTTTTTCAGATGTCATCCAATTTTTGCTCTGTTTTGATTTCTCAGAAACCTTGCATTTGGTATAGGCATTCAGAATTTTCCAGAGGGTTTAGCTGTAAGTCTTCCTCTCCGAGCTTCAGGGATGTCAACTCTAAAAAGTTTCTGGTAATAAATAATAACATGGATTACAATTTTATTTAGAGAGCATTCATACTTCTTTTATAGTTGATAGCTTAATTTGTCATACTATATAAAACATTTTAGGTGTAATAAATAAGATTATATCATGAACAACTTAAATAAAGACCAAAACCTTGTTTTTATTAAACGTGGAGAAATCAATGTTAAAAACATATTTACTGTTTGTTATTAAGATTTATGCACACCAATGTATTACAGGTATGGTCAGTTAAGTGGAATGGTGGAGCCTATAGCTGGGCTATTAGGTGCAGTGGCTGTTACCTATGCAGAGCCTCTTCTACCTTATGCTCTAGCATTTGCGGCAGGTGCCATGATATTTGTTGTGTTTGATGATATCATACCCGAATCTCAGACCTCGTAAGTGAAGTATATTATTTAGAATTTAACTGATTTTGGATAAGGACTGGCAGCCCTTTGGCCATCAGTGTCAAATTTAAGTTTTATATATATAGTGTTTAAATTGTAGCAGAACACAATACATTGACAAAATGTGTAATTACTTTCTATTTGAATAAAAAAGCTAGGACAGTTACACTATAATAGTTTTGCTCAACAGAGCCGAAAGCTGCCTTGGCTGAGGCAGATGCTGTAAATCTTTAACATACTTTCCATTTACCTAGGTTAAAATTTTTACATTTTAAATGTTTCAGTAATTTCAATAAAGTTTTTAATAAATAGAAGCGGAAATTAGTTTTTGTTAATTGACTATTTCACAGTGTAATGTTATTAATATGAAAATAAAATTATATAATCTCAGTGCTCAAACAATTCTAAGAAGATTTTATTAATCTCAATAGGCCTGCGAAATAATTTAAATTATACGGGGAAAGTTTTTAAAATGGTTAATGCTTATTTTTAAGAAGGATACTTTTAAGTGAAGCATTATTTTATATTTTTACATTTAGGAAAAGACCTTAAATTTAAAAAAAATTTCTTTCACTTGCCAAAGACATTTTATGATTAAATCAACTTTACCAAATTCTCTTTCAGTGGAAATGGCAAGCTAGCATCATGTGGAGCTATTATTGGCTTTATAGTAATGATGTCTTTAGATGTAGGATTGGGTTAAATTAATGTTAGCCGAATCAAAAGATGTTATCATTTTATAAATGTTAGAATTATGTGCATGAAATGAAGCATTTATGTGTTGTTTTACAGTCAGTCCATGTGATTATATATAATAAGTTTGTCACTGCTGTGCCCCTAGTGTTTTCCTAATTTAAAAATAAACTAATTTAATTATAAAAGATTACTGACTGAGAGTAATGACTTGCATATTGGTTTGCTTGTAATTAGTTTTTTGCCAAATTCAAATATCGAAAGACTTTCTTTTAACATTTTCTCATTACATAATCATAACTAGCAGCTTGAAATTTATTATAATTGGTAAAGACAAGATAATGTTATGTATTATGAGATGAGCATTGCTGATGTACTTAGATTGCATTTAACAAACCCTTAATATTCTCAAAGTTTTTATATCACAAAACTTTTATTTTAAATTATTATTCTTTACATTTTCAAATATTTCACTATATTATATTAAAATTAACTTAAGGCGGAGTGAAAAGTAATTCAGTCATTTTCAAGGGTGTTCATTTTCGAAAGTAAGAATTGCTTATAAGCACTGACTTGCTCTTTTCTGCTAACAGCTTTGCTTTAGTCCCATCACATTAATTTTAACCCATTTCGCAATGTCACTTTAAAATATTTAAGTAAACTCACTTTAAACTTTTATTAGACAGTACTTAGCTCCATAATTGATAGAGCTGATCGATAGTTGATAAATGGCATAGAGGTACATACGGACAGACAAGACACAATCCAAATAAACCACATACAAAATTACTGCCAAGAGAACTTAGTTGTGACATGCTTTAACTTATAATCTCAGTAATTTATAACAACTTTAGGGACCAATTTTTTAATAGAAAATACGAATCACTCTGAAATTATGGTAATTGTTTGATTTCATCTTTAATTCTACCCATTTTTTTTTTAAAGATTGAAAATACAATTATACTATTTTTGTTTTCAACATTAATGATTTTTATTGGTTTTGGACAATAATGATGCATAAGCAGAGTTCTTTGTTTCTTTAACCTTAATATTTTATGATATGGACAATATCTTTTGTTGCTGAATATAACTTGTGAACACCACATCCACTCACATGGATGGGTGGTGAGGTTTGGTCAATTTAGTTCATTATTTTAAGAAAAGCTGACTTTATTCAATTGCATAGCCTAAGTGTTTGCATAATAATATAATGGCAACTAGTCATCAGCTTGACATATATATTTATATATGTATATATATATATATATATATATATATATATATATATTTATACAGTGTTTTTCTTGTGAACAGGTCTTGTTTATTTATGAAAAGCTGACTTTATTCAATTGTATAGCCTAAGTGTTTGCATAATAATATAATGGCAACTAGTCATCATCTTGACATATATATATATATATGTATATATATATATATATATATATATATATATATATATTTATACAGGGTTTTTCTTGTGACCAGGTCTTGTTTATTTAAATTTGAAATCAACTTCAACGTAATCATAGAAATTTGTCAGCTAACTTGAAGTTCTTAAGTTATTGATATTCCTATTAAAGGTGTAAAAAAAGGGAAAATTTAAAAAGCATTAACTATAATTACTGAAGCTAAGTATTTGTATCATAAAATATATAGTATATTTAAATTTTCCTTTTTTTCCCCACTATTCTTAAATAAGATTGTAAGCCAGTATATTATTTTAACTCTTTTACTTACATAACTAGGCAGACCCATCAAATTTCGGCATTACAATACACAACTTAAATATTTTTTTTAAAAGGATACGCTTAAGATTTGAGTTTGCTTAATGAAAATAATTGAATTTATTTAATTTAAAAACTACTTTGTTAGGCCTACTTTGTAATTTCTATTAATGATTTCCAAGGATGTTATTATTACCATTTCATTACATCATTAAATTAATGTGCAAATAATATTGAAAAGTGCCTTACAATAACATAAAATGTATCTTGTTAAGGATTTTTAAAAAAAATTCATTTTCTTTAAATGCAAATTAATTCATGGTTAATGGCTCCAGGTGATTTTGACAGATAAATCTTATGCTTCCATCGAAAGCAATTCTGTCTTATATAATTGTTCAGTTGAATCACTTTTTTTATTTTCTTCTTTTGTTTTCAAGTTATTATTTGAAATTTAAGCCCTGCTTTCTTTACATTTCAAACACTTAGGTACCGTAGTGTTAAGGTGACTCATTTTTAAATGGCTGTTCATATTGTGAAATAACTTTTTAACTCAAGGTCCATCCACAGCTGTTATAAAAATAGTTTAACCCTTTGTTAGTAATAAGATTAAATCTAGAAACAAGTAGTCTCTGGAGAAATGATACATTTGTACATCAAAATGATAAATGATTTACGTGTTCAAACTCATCTACCCAACTTTTAATTCTTTCTCACAGTTTCACCTTTTATTAACATTTGGTCTACTAAAACCTATTGCTGTTATTTATGCTTCTAATTTTTTAATTTTTTTTTATGTTGACATGTTAAAGAAATGTGTTGTTCACATTACACTATGTGTCTTTCAGTATTGTAGTTGATAGGGCTTCAGCTAGTAACAGCTTGTTTGATATGATATTAAATTCATTAAAAATTTGATGAACTTGAGGTAACTGTGATACTGGCAGCCGTCTCCGCCCTACAGTGACTCTCACGGCAGCCATGAGAACTTACACTAACATATTTCAGTCAAATCCTGAAGATCCATTTTTCAACTCTCTTTAAAGGCAAACCTTTAACTATGAAAATGATATACTCTTTTCCCGCATAATTAATGAATATTTTTATGGATAGCTTCAAATTCATTTAGCACACTCAAGGTGTATGAACATCAGACAATTTTTAGAACATTGCTATAATCCATTTCTAAATTATGTATGATTTAGATGGCACGTGGTGTGCATTTATTTTATCATTGGACAAGTGATCAATATTTTTAATTTCAATAAAATATTGTCACCATCTCTCCTCATTCTACAGAATCAGGATAAATATAAGTTTAAATGAAACATAATATTTGGCAGAATAATTTATTTTGCATAAAACTAAATAATGTATAATAAAGTAGTAAACATAAACTTATTTTACAGGCATAACTAGGTTATTATTGAGTGGATTCTCTTCCAACGTTTTCTTTTTTTAAAAGAGGGTCTCATCATCCAAATCCATTAAGAATTTTCTGATATATGTAAATTTCTATACAAATTTATGAGATGTAAAATTTTGTGATCTGACAGATAAAATATGAAATATAAAATTATAATAATTTTATTTATATTTCTGTTTACATTTAAGTGTAAAAGTGTAAAGATTTTGAATATACGTTGACACAGTTACAGTTAACAACTTTCAAAGATTTAAATTTCCAGTATAATTTCATTTCGATAGAACAAATTATCTTCTTTTGACAAGTTTGTAATAAAAATCAATAATAATTTGTAATCAAGGTGTTACTGGGTAAAGGAAATGTTTCTCTACAAAAGAATGTATGTAATACAATTATTGAAAATAAAACACAAGTTTGTTTGCAATTGTAATACCGGACCACTTAGAAAAATAATTTTCCTCTTATATTAATTTATGACTCTCCATAATTTGCTGTTGAAATTTAATGTACAGGGATAATGTATTCTGTTTCAGAGGGACCATTATTTTAATAAAATTAATTATTTCATGATAAATGTGCTTGTTTTAGATGTGTGAATGAATTTACATTATTTTAAGAATAAAAGTAATTTTTTTTACATTACAAATATAAATGAAGGGTGAACAGGTTTATTCAGAGACATTCTTAGAAAGTCATAGAGAGTATGGATTACTGATGTCAAGTGGTAGTATTTCAATTTTGTAACGTCTCTCTCCAGTGGCCACACAGCACCCAACAATCTAGACAGGGCTTGTCATAATTTCATTATTATTTGAAGGTGCTTTAACATTTCAGAGTAGATTCACATAAGCTTAGGCTTGCAATACTAAGTCTAAATATCTCAAATGAATCTTTGCTTACATTTAAAAAATGTGAACACAAAAAATTGTGTTCTTAATAATTGCTTTTTAATACCCATGGAATTCGTTTCATGAAATAGTAATTTTCCTATTTTTGAAAAAAAATCTAAGAACAGAATAGTTGTCCTACCATAATCTTGACTGGTTTCAACATTTCAAAGTGTTTAGTGAAACTGAGTTTAATTCATGGTCAAAAAAACTTTCATATTTGTACCGGTACAGTATTAAAAAACAACTGGGAAATGGTTAAACATCAAGTAATTATAAGGCAAAGGTTTAAAAGAGAACATAATCATAAATATAACTGATGTAAAAATTATTGATGACAAGGAGTCAATCATATTTCTCCGACAGGGACAAAAATTAAGCCAGTAAGAATGTGGACATCAGATTGAGTCATATAATAAAAACACAAGGTAATGCAATTTACCAGTGCTGAACATAAAATTTTATTCATTTAAGTACAAACATCTGAAGCGATGGGAATGTAAAAATATGGCTGAACAAATAATCTTCTACCAACATTAGTCAATCTACCATTGGTTTGGTATTTATAGACACTCACTCCAACCCAAACATTGCATATTGTCATTAAAGACAAAATAAAATGATGCTATAAAATGTATTTATTATTCATATAGATCCTTGTTATACTTTACTTTTGAATGATTAATCAAACTTTCAAGCAGACATCTTTCAATCTACTTAGAAAAAAACCATATAATCATAATTGAGACAAATACATCAAATGTTCTCAAATTGCTTGCATCATTCTCAGATGTGGCAAATCAATATTCATACAACAATCTCATGATTTTATCATTCCCATGATTTTATTTCCATAAATTATTATTTAAAAATGTAACCTTCCAATGATCTGTATGAGCAACCCCCCTAAACACTTTCAGCCAATGAATATATTAAAATGAGGAATAATTTGTTGGAAGACTGACAAAATCTAATAATTTTGGAAAATGAAGGTGTTATACATCAACAATTTAAAAAAAAAAAAGGATTTGAATTTTTATAGCATTTGAAATTTTCTTTGAAGTTTTTATTTCTGTCCTGTCTTATAATTAATTTTTTTTTTTATATTCATTTTTTGAGAGCAGAGGTGCAACTGTGTTTTGCATGCTGCAATTTGAGTATCACTTTTAATTCTTTATTTTATAAAAATAAAATAAACATAAAATTCTAACCACCAAAGCCTTTAAAATTATGAAGCAGTGTCACTATTTTTAAATCTTATTTACCAGAAGGAATAAGTACACTAACAGTCCTGAATTGCTATTTTTTTCTGTCTTTAACATCTTGTCTTGTTACCCCATCCCAAAACCACCATTTAATAAAAAAAAATCCCCATCAAACAACAGAAATGCAGCTCTAATAACATAAATTAACTTTTGGATTTTTTTATTGGCACGTTATCAATATCATCCACAACATCATCTTTCTTTTCAATAACTGTAGATTGACTGTAGAGTTTTTTAAGTTCCTCTATAAGAAGTGAAAGATGAGGGTTGCCACCTAGAGCTTTCATCTCTACAAGCAATCTGCGGAAAAAATAATTTATAAATAGCAATTGAGTCTCGCATTTGTACTTTATTTATTAAAATGATAGGGAATAGGAATTTAACAAAATATAAAATACATGATATAATAACCTAAAAAGATATCTTCAATCTCTGCAATCTTATATGATTTTATGAAATTATATTTTATGAAATTAATAAACACTACACAAACTACATTAAAAAAGCTTGTTTTCATGACTGAATTATAAACATGAAAAGTTTCTTCAATAAACTTCCATCATCAATTTAATCTTTTAGTTCTCACTTACTCCTGCTCCAGCTGACCAAGGACTTTCTGAGTATATTCAAAACTGCCCACTTTCTTTAGGTACCCTACACAATAGCGTTTGACATCATTGTCTGTTGTTCTTTGCCTCAGTATATCTTAAGCTTGTTAAGGCAAAATTACCATGATTAATTATTATAATTGTTAAATTACAATAATATGAATATTTTAAAAAATATTTTTGTTATGTAAGATAGGACTCCACCCCCTATGTTAATCTATACAAAAATACAAAACTAGACTTATTATTGTTCTAAACTTAATTTCAAGTAGGTGACCAAAGCATCATTTAATGGTTTGGTTTAACGCTTAAACCCTTTTATTTGATTTGAAATGAATGGCTTTTAAATCTTTTCCATGTACATATGAATAGACATTGTAGATACTATTTGGCTAAAATTTCAAAGTGACAGTATAGCCAATTAGTTAAAATACGATGCAATTACATAATACCATTCTAAAAAATGCATTGACAATCTGAAGCTAAACACAGTGACATTGTCAAAAACTCATGTTTAATATTAAGTTCCTCAAATTATAATCAAGCCAGTTGCAATTGGATGAAATAATTAGATTGATATGATGGGAGGAGGTCTCTGCAATAAAGAAAAACCCACTGGCAGAAATATGATAGGAAGAAAACCGACGGATTATTCAAAAGGTGAGTGAAAATAAAAGGAGCTTTAAACAAAAATCTATTTCTTTTTATGTTATCCATCAAATTGTTAAATCCTTATATCTAATGTTAACTTTTGTGTCAATTCACAACAAACATTAATCCCAGCATGAACAGGGCATTTCGTGTGTTCAAGATTGACCGACAAAGGATACTTAGCACTTGGTTATCACTAGGATTGGCCCTGATAGCATGTATGAGAGGAAATGAAAACTTTCCCTCTGTGATGTCTTCACAGTAGCTTTTGTTGTGCTCATACTGGGAATGAAAGAACTCATTTTCATAGATAGCACCATGACATTACAAGAGTATCATTAAGGTGGGTGCATTATGAAGAAACTTGGTTTAAAAAATTACTCCTACTTGAAATAAATATTGGGATGGTTACAGTAAAGTTTCCATGGTTTTCAATGACATGAGGATAGTATTAAACATGATTGACCTGCTGGAAACAATAACGCATCAGGGTATCGCTTACCTCCTCTGAAACCAGGTTAGCATAATCATCTCTAATTTGAAAGTACAGTCCTAAAATGTCTAACAGCGGCTTGAAATTACTGGGAAAAGAATTATCAGAAATATGAAACATAAAGATTTATCAGTAGTGTCTTTATAACTGACACAAAACTATAATTTTTAAATGAAATATATTCTATTATGTTGAAATACTGAAGGCTATGTTTAAGGAAGAGGCAATATGAATGAAGCGCATATGTGTGTTTAATATGACTGAGAGATGACTTTTAACAAGACTGTCTCTAAACTCTAAAAGTTGTTTCTTTGAAGTAGTGGAGTTGAGTGAACAGAGCAGATCACCCATGATAATGGTATAGTTTCTGAGAAAAATGTTCAAAGGCAGGTTTATCAAATTATTTTACACAGCTTAACTTTTGTATCATTTAGAAAAAAAAAATATAAGAAAAATAAACAAAAATGGAATTTATGGTTTAAATGAAAAAATATGAATTGGAACAAAATTCTCAAGCATTTTTTAGGTTAAGTCTAAACTGGAGGATAATTTTTAAAAAATTTAAGTGTAAGTTAGGTAAAAAAATGTCATTGTCATCAATAAAATCCAAGCTAACCTTTTATTTTCACTAAAGAGCTGCATCATTTGAACAGCCAGGCCAAATAATCCACCGGTTTCTGAGAAAATGTATGAAAAAAAAAAATGTTCACCTCAGATCAGACATGCAAAGGTAAACTACAGCACCCGTTTCAATATGGTTGTGCCAGCAGTTCTTGTAAAGCACGGTTATAAATATTTAACATTTTTATTTCACACAGTGTTTTTATTGTTTATGGTTTATATTTTATATGTTAAAAAAATAAAATAGTTGTATTTATGGATTAATAAGATAAATCCTAAATCATATGCGGCCTTCCACATTATTTTATGCAGAGAAAAACTGTACTAAAATTTAAAATACGTAACAGAAAGAACCAAAATATTTGATAACTATATTTTGAAGTAGTATTTAAACATGTACTATTTAAAATCTTCAAATTGGATTCAATTTAAGATGATTTTTTAGTGTCGCTCATGTTTTTCTAGAACAATTTTGTTCTTATTGTAAACACCCTTATTCCTAAACCAATAGCCCACACATGAACTACACTGATGACTGTGCAGCTAAAGAAAAATTGTAAACTTTGCTGGCTTACTTCTAATAACCATTATCCTGTAATCCTCTTCTGTTGGACAGATTACTGAGTCTCTCCAGTAAATATCCATGCCTTGACCTCTGTGTAGCTCTAGAAGATGTTCTAAAGACAGAAGGCAATTTCAATTCTTGTTTCAAGGTAAATGTCAATTCAAACTGAAATCTTTATTTTCTATAGAATAATTCTCTCTAATTACAGAAGTTCTTAAATTTTGAATGTAAGATATTAAATACCTTACCTGTAAAAACTTTCGTGGTTTCCTCCAACTTCCCTAATGTAAAGAGTTTTTCTAAGGCAAGGAAGTAAACATAATTAGCAGTGTTTATGGTTTGAGCAACACCAAAGATGGAATGAGTTACTGAAAGAAAAGAGATGATATTACATTTTTTCATTGACAAATTATGCTTTTGTAAGATATCTAAATTTATTGTTGTTTTAAATTGAAGCTAAGCCTTGCACATTAAAAAAAACAATTAAATAGAATAATTTTACATCTGTCACCAACAGTTATAACTTTTTTTGCAATTTATCATTTTTCGTATCAAGATAGCTCAGTTATAATTGCAACAACCCAAAACTAAAAAAAAAATGATTAAAGAAGTTATGTTTTGAAAACACTTACCTGGAATACCTCTCCTTAATTTAGAATTGTCTTCAATATCATCAATACTGAAAGAGGCAAATAAGACACATCTTTGAAAAAATGTATTCAATTTGACAATATGAAAAGATTTATTTAAATTTTGTAAATTTTCAAATTGGCTATTATAAAAATAGTTATTTCGTTGTTTAAACGCACTATTTACAATGTATTCTTTGCACTAGGTCACAAATATGCACCAAAGAGTTACATTGTATAGCCAATACTATTCAAAATAAAAATAAAAGAAACATCTTTTAGAAAAATAAATGAGACAAAGATATCTGACAAATAAAAATTGTACAAATTAATTTCAATAAGATTGTTAGTAAGATTACTGCTCTAGGCACATATACATACATTAAACTTGCATTGTGAAGCATCTCAATGACTTCTGAGATAATTAATATCTTTTCTTTAGGGATCAAAAGCCAATGGTTAAATGCCTTGAAAATAAAAAAATAAGTAGTTAAGAATACTTTAGAAAATGATGAATAGGTGTTTATCTTAAAAAGGAAATGGACTTTCTGAAACACCGCTAGATTGGTTTGAATTCTTTAGTTTTTATTCATCTTAAATTAATATTGCTGAATGTTATTTACCATTAATTCCATGTTTTTGGGGACTGTCTCCAAACATGACTCTTACTCCAATTTTTCAAGCTTTTTTTCTGACACTCACATTTTGACTTCATCTAAATAAGTGAGCTAGATTCTTTAAAATTTGAAAAGATACTTCATTGATTATCTTTTTTTTTCAAATTTTTGTTCAAAATAAAAAGCAACACCATTGTGTGATTATAACAATAAGAAAATGATTTAAAGGAGACATTGATGGGGAGGAATAATACAAAAAATATTTATTATTAAAAAAAATGGTGTCTCCGAGGATATATTTTCATACATGGCAATCTGCAAGATATAAAAATATACAAAATGTTTTTTTAAAACACTGAACAGCATGAAAAATCGTACAGAAAAAATGAAAGTAAAAATAAAACAATTTATAACTGTTTCTGTTAATCAAAGTTTTAACTGTATGCAAACTTTGCTTTCTTGATGATTTATGGATTAGTTTGGAAACCAAAACAAGTGTCATTATTAAATTTGCACTGTAAAATAGTTGTGACTGCATTGAATTTTACAAAAAGATCTCCTCCCTTTTAAGTTAATCTGAAAGACTATAAATGATGGGGCAGAGAAAAGTGGGTCTTAATAGAGGTAGAATTTAACCTCCTGCAGAGCTGTTTAACCCTGGGTTAGGTCAGAGTAGTTTTCAGCCCTCAGAAATGTAGTTTCAAGCTCCAAAAAGTAGTTTGTTCAATTATTAGGGGGGGGGTGTCTGGAAAACCTCTCAACGTAGGCCTTTAATTATTTTAAAGGCTTGATGTTATATTGAAGATTTTTTTAGTGTCAATTACTAAGTTATCAAACTAATGTTGTCATGTATCCGTTAAATTTCGAAATCAAATTTCTCTACTTTGATAATACTGTAGAACTACGACTCATGACTCATACCGTAAGCTTCTATTATTACTATTATTCGAATTAGTATTTTTATTATCACTAGGTTGACGGTAAAGCTGAAAAAAGTAGGCTAAGCTTAGTAAAAAGTTAGTCTAAGACTTAGTAAGTAGACAAAAGACTGCCTATTTTATTTTTAGTCATCTGACACATAGTTGACATAGAATTTTTAAAATGGCTATGTAACAATTACAGGTGAGAAAAACTAAATTAAACTAATTATTGACTTTAATAAAATACTTATGTATGAAAAAAGTCACATTTTTACACACCCAACCCCACCCTGTTGCATGCATACTTTTTGAGTACTCCCCAATTCCAATTATTTATTTATTAAATTGAAAGTAAACCAAACAAACAAAAACACTCCGTAAACTAGTTTTTTTTTTAAGTTCGTCGTAGTGCCGTAGTCTTAAAAACGAAGTTACTATGGCCAAAAGTTAGGGGTAAACAAGTCTGTTCCTGCCTCAAAGTTTTGTTCATGCAACTTTGTTTTAAAATGTACTTTAATGTCATATCAGCCTGAAGCAGGCAAATTGATTCATTTGATTCATATTCAATGTGAAATTATTTTTTTTTTAGAAGTTAGTAATCTAAATTTTCAATGTCAATGATTTGAATAAAATGTTGCATTTCCTCGTATTTAGCATACATTATGCATTAGTATGGCCAAGGTAGAGAAATTGTAAAAGACAGAGAAAAAGATTGAACTAGCCGGTGTTTTGTATTTCACTCAAGGTGGTAAAGTGGCACTCACAAGTAACATACCGATACTTACTTTTGAAAGTTTAGTTCGTATCTGTTTTCCTTTGATCTGACAGATGTACTTATAAGGCTCAAGTAAAATCTACAAGGAAAGCCAAGGACATAAAAGTGTCATCATATAACTTTAAAATGAGATATTCTGCACAATAATTACATATGTTCAAAGTGTGTAGGGTTAGTCAAAATGTGTTAAGTGGTTTCCCTTTTTTTTAATTGTCAGAATTTAGACATTGCATGTAAGGAGTTAGAATGGTGTATTGAATGAATGCTCAAGTAACCAAGGACATTAACATATTTGACAGTTATTTTGATTAGTTTATTCAAGAAAAATACAAATGATAAGTAACACTTTTTTCAAGTAATTTTAATGGAGCTTCTCTTTTTTACGATAACATTAAATTAATGTTTAAAAGTAAAGGTACGGAATACAAAATTATAGTTTTAGAAAAGACTGCTTTACCTGTTCTTGTTCCTCCTTCATTAAAATATGATCCTCCGTTTGCTTTTTAGAATCTGTTGGCTCCATTTGATCAAAATTCAACTACCCAATTGGTATTAGAAAGCAAACAGATTTCTGAAAATAAATGTGCCAGGCTTTAAACATAATTTTATTCAAGCCATTTTCTTCATGATTCCATCATTATTCAAAACAAATATAATAGTCTAAAAAAATAAGGAAAGAAATATCACTTTCCATTATTCAGTGTAATTATTGTTGATGTCAGCTATATAAAACTTTTATAAAATCAAAAGTAGGTGTTTCTTTACTGTTGGAGCTATGGATAAACCAGTACATAATTGAACATTTTGGAAAATGTTATTAAACCTATTTATGCCAGAGGTTGTATTTTTTAAACTTATTTGCTTAATTTTTTTTTTTTAATCTTACAAGTTACCCTAGATACATTCACAAAATGGGAATTTGAAAAGAAACTTTTTTATTTAGGCCTAAAAAAACTTACTTGATTGTCACAAGCAGTAGAGCCTGATCAGGCTTCAGGCTAACAGATGGGTCAAATACTGAATCCTGTTTGCATTCACACACTTAAAGTTATAGACTGACAAAAACATTTTGTTGACACCCATTACAGGCCTTTATAATGGCTGACTATACTGTATAGTATACTACCTACACTTATAGGTCCTACTATAATTATATATATTGTAATAATTGTAGGCCTATGGGCTCTGTATTAAACTATTATAGTTAATTAGCTAAAATAGACTGATATTTCATTATTTGCAGCCTAACCTAATGATTATTTTTCTTTTTCTATTAGTTACATGTAGTTTTTTAGTTCAAATAATATGAGTACCCAGTAGTCAGTAGTCAATAAGTAATTGGTTAATCTAGAGAGTCTATATAGACCTATTTTAATAATTAACTTAGGCCTAAGACAAGTATAATTTACTTTATGGTGTTTAAATACTGTGACAGTGTAGTGAAGTTACAGTTTGCTGTAGTAACACTAAAAGTGAAGAGCACAAGAATGTTGTTTGTGTTCTCCATCATGACTCAGTCATGCATGACATTAGTGACATGGTGCTAAAAATAAAATATGAATATTATCATCACCACCTAATCTGAATCATAATTAATAATATTAATCTAGAGAGCTATTATGATAGAACGTACTTTGGTAAACATTTTAATATATTAATAATGATATAAATGCAATACAGTTAAATAGAGCCCATTAAATGGATTTTAAAAAAAAATCCACCAAGATCAACTTTCTAGTTCATGTGGTTCAAAGTTAGAAATGTTTTAGTGCAGACCTAAAGTAATTTTTTTTTTTTACCATTGAGTTTTACTCCACATTTTGTGACCAATTTTTTAACTCGTGGTTTTGCCCATATTTCTTGCATATTTCTCAATAGAAAAATGTCCTATTTACAGGATTTGTTGATAAGATTATATATTAATAAATAAAAGCAGCAAATACCCTTTAGAAAAGCATTTTCTTGTTTAAATAACTATTAAATGTTAGCTTCTTTTTTTTTTCTATATTATATAGATTCAATAAACTACCATTTTTGGAGTGAAAAATAAACATAAACTATTAAATGTTAAAGATAAATAGCTCATATATGTTGTTGTGTTGCAACTTATAAATTCAAAATGATAAATGACAATATCAGTGATCCTCACACCCTTAATATCAAGGAGTAAGCCCTACATAAGAAAATTTTTAATTTAAAGCTGCAAACATGTATCTTTATTTTTGGTTCATTGAGTTCAAGTTAATTTTGATGGCAACATTGAAAGGATCTAAAATTTAAAAAATAGGCTGTTGATCTTTATTTGAAAGATGACATCTGCCATGAAATAAAATTCACCTGCATAACATTTTAAAATGTTGTGGAATTCTTGGATGAATGTATTGTTAATATTAGTAATTTTCTTTGGAAATGAATGTGTCAGACTTATTGGTAATTTGTATTGTCTAGCTGCTTAATATTTGAAAAATTCACAAATGATATCCGAATAGCTTGAGTCTAATGGGACCCGGGTCCGAATAGCGGCGATGGGTTTCCAGTTCCATTTTGACTAAATTCTATTCAAATGCCATTTGTGAAATTTTGTGGTAGTTTATTTTAGTTAAACTGAAGAAGTAAGTTTACAAACATATAGTTAATTCAATTATCTTTCATTTCATACCAAATTTTGTCTTACAAACCCTACAATAATTTTAAAATATTTTTTAATAAACCCAAACTCTCAACTCTCCGAATAGCAACATGGGGCCGGGTCTTTCGATATTTCTAGGAGACCCGCTGGACTGCATTTCATTCACCCGCGAGGGGAAATTCGCCGTGGACCTTGAAATTCCCGGTTCAGGCCATGTGTGACGTCAAACATATATTTTTTTTAAATTTCATTTCTAATTAATTTTTTTTACTTTTTAGTAGAATTTACTAGCTTTAAAAATAATTTTCAAACATTTTGTAAAACATTTTAATTAGTTTTAGGTTAAAATAGCATGAAATGTGTATCTCCTGAATGTGTTGTTCACGATACCTCTTGCTAGGAGCCCTAGTAACTATTCTACTATTAAAGTCATTTTAATAATGTGATAGTTCTTTTCGTATCCGGAAATTTGATCGAAAGAAATTTCGTCCACGGTAATATGATCGAACGGAAATTTGGTCGAATCTTCTTTTCAATTTTTACGTTACAATTTTGCATCAAATTTCTATTTGAACAAATTATTTGTTTTACTTAAATAGTAAAGTGCGTTCAAAAAGAAATTTGAAGAAAATTTTAACGTGCGAACGGAAAAAAAGATTCGACCAAATTTCCGTTCGATCAAATTACCGTAGACGAAATTTCTTTTGATCAAATTTCCGGTAACCAGTTCTTTTAAGTGAAAATTTTATATTTTAATACAGTTTAATAGTGAAGTGTGTTTTAGATTAAATTTTAAATAGGTGTTAATTAAAATAAAATTTTGTTCGAAAGTGTGACGTACCTGGGGGAGTCCGAGATTTGTGACAGTTTGTAACAGGGGGGAGGGGGGGTAAAAATAGCCTGACGTACTTTATGGATAGCCCCCATCCTTATTTTTATAAATGCTATTCATAGTTTTATTACTTTTGTTCAATTTTAAATTTTGTTTATTAATAATTTACATTCTAATCTACTCTACCAACTTAAGATTTATTAAGAATCAAAACCATGTAGCCTAAATTACATTTTTTGTAAGCACTCTTAATGACATTTTTGATGATTTTTCATTTATACTTTATTAAAACTTAATTTTTAATACTGGACCGGGATGCAAAGCTGAATCAAGACAAATAATTTACATTTACATTTTTTTTTTCTGAAAGTTACATTTACAATTTACATACTATTACTATACTATACTACTATAATAGTAAACTATACAATACTATACAGTATACAGACTACAGACTAACATAGTCATACTAGTTAATAGGCTGGCTTTCAATTTCCCTTCACTGAATTTCTGAAGTCTTCATCTACAAGAGTATATTTAATTATTGATAGTCGTGGGTCAGTAGCCAATTATTTATTAGGCTTAGGCGACATAGACACAATAATAATAATAATAGGCCTAAAGTTAACAGAACACGGAAAATGCTAAATGTTGATGTAAAGTCCAAATACCGAAACATTTCCATGCAAGAGAAATATTCACAATAACTACAGAATAGAACAGCTAGAAGTGTTTCTTTCAGACATCTCTATGTTTTCGTTAGGAACCTGTGCCCATTATTATTCTTTTCTTTTTTTCCTTTTAGTTATATATTACGAAACTTTCATTTATAATTATAATAATAATGTTTTTTGTTGTACTGATGAAGGAATCTCCTTAAACGTTTGAATTTGTATCTCTAGTAAAGGTAATCATAATTTGAGCTTAACATATATATATATATATATATATATGTGTGTTTTATTACACAGATTTTTAGTGTCTCTTTTATCTACAGTTCGGACTGATGGTTATTGTAAGCGAATGGTAGGGTTTTCTTTTTCTTTAATAATCACATTTTCTTTGTCCTCATCACTCACTACGCCAAAATTTTATGGTACTGCAGGGTTTTTTTTTCGTGGAAGATGGCGTCAAAAAACTCGTCCTGACCCGAGGGGCACTAAAAAGCTACGCCACTGGGTGTCATAAATCAAGGGGTAGCAGGAGTCGAAAAAGAGGATGAGGCGTCGAGGGCTCACGAGTGAAAGTTGTGGTGGGATCTCGGGTGGGGCTTAGTGGGCCAATCCCCAGAAAATGTTTAATAAAATCAAAATAGAGGGATGGATTCCCCCCCCCCTCCCCAACTGAAGCCCGAGCTTATATTGCTTAAACGTTAATCCAGGCCTGCATGCATGAACTCAATTTAGTATTGTCATTTGTGCCTTGCATTTTTTCCCCCTTGCTCTTGCGGATAACAGAAGAATTAAACATTAAAAGATGCAAATAAAGAACTAAGAATACAGTAAAACGATTTAAATTTTTTTAACGTGTTGAAATTTTGTGAAGTAATCTAGTTAACCTGTTACCCAGAAATATGCTAAGTTAATCAATGTGAATTAATGAATTATATTTTTACTTTAGCTTGAAATTTATTTGCAATCTGGTAAGTCCTTTAATACAAGGGAAACAATGCAGGAAATGTAGCTCTTTTATTTAATTGACTTGGTTTTTTTAAAATAATACTAATGATTATTTTTTTTTATTAATCATATTATTCATCTGATCATTTTTATTTTGATTTTAGCCACAGTCTTATCAAGAGGCTTTTTGCTTTCGGTCTCCTACTCAACTTAAACCAAAAATTATAAGACAACGGCAAGTGATTTTTAAAAAATAACTTGATAAGCGCAGTGAAGTGGGTTGGGCTAAACCGTACCGTGTACTACTGTACTAAATTACTAAACTAAAAAAAAAACCACCGCCACAGTCTAACAGTAGACTCAATAGTTTATTGGACTGAACTCCGTAGTGTAGTGTAAGCCTATGCATAAAGTGGCTAAAGTCACTAAAAAGGAAATTTACTCAATTAGGCTATTATTAATATTAGTAAGTATGCAAAGCAATTCAACCGAACCGACACATTTCTTGTCTGAAGTTTTGGTCAGAAGTGAAGTGGAGCATATTTATTATTATGTTTTTTTAAATATTTTTTTGAAAATTAATATTTAAGTATAAAAAGGAATGTAGTATGTAGACGACATTTTAGTGTAAGCTATATAAAGGCTATATTCTTTAAAATCAGTTTTAGGGCTATATGCTATAGTTATAGGCCTACTGTTACTCTAGTGACTAGACTAGTCTCTAGTATTAGTATCTACTCTAGAGTCTAGTCTAGACCTTTGACTTTGGCTAATTAAATTTACTTATTATATTATATAATTAATAATATATAATAAATTTATTATGATTTTGTTTGCTGCTCTAGCCTAGGATTACCCTAATTTAGGCTAGTAACTTTAACTTAAAGTTCAAGAATTAGATGTAATTATGTGAATGTGATGAATATTATATCAACATTCCGTCGTCAGGCGCTTCTGATCAGATTGCTACAACGAGCCAACCGTCTGCGCTCTAAACTTAACACCTAAATGAGAGATGACAGCAAGCTATGGTTATTAATAATGTTTTCCATTCCTCTTATACAGGCCAAAGCCATTTACTGTGCAGAACATGCTTTCAAAGTGCAAATTTTAGTTGTTTTGTTCTAATTGATACACCGTGCGTGCCTTCACTTATTACTTTTTGAAGTTTGACAATTGTATAATTATTTTGCTCTGGTAAGTTACCTTTTTTCATATTTCTATACTATTAATATATAATATATTAAATACTAATGCATTATCTTATTTTTAACCGATGTTTGTGTGTTTTTCAATGTCAATATGTCAATAGAAAATATTAAATTGATACATTGGGCCTTAATGACATATTTATACTGATCCTCAATGACATATTTATACCGATCCTCATTATATTTCAGGTTACGTCTTCTGTCTAGCATGGCCAGTGGTAGGAAAATTTTCAATCTTATGAATAATAGAATATAGAGGAAATTCAAAGAAAACTTTTGAAAATGAAGAAGGAGAATAAGATTTTGAAGATGAGGCTCACACAGAAGGTCAAGTTGCAGTTGAAATTTGTGAGAAAGATTCACTGCCTTAAAAAGAAAAGGATGATAGTGATGATGTAGGAGGTACTATTGACAACTATATTTTTTATTGGAAAAGACATAAAAAACAAAATGGAATAAGAATCAACCTTCAAACAGTGTGCTTTTGAGAAGTAGCCTTTGAATTCAAAAAGTTTCAGGATTTCCAGGCTCTGCAAAAATGGCACAAATCCCTCTTAACCCTCTGGAGACGTAAGGGCCGATCTATCGGCTCAAGGTCGACTGGCGCGAAAAACGTAAGTCCAAACTATCGGCCAGATAAATCGCGCCTCACGATTGGCTGATATAGCGTTGTACCAGCGAATCAAAATTATTCTTACGTATTCCTGCACATCCCGGCATTGTAAAGGCGGTGTTCGTTGAAGGTGAACTCACTATATTAGTTTGCAGGAATTTTTTTTTGTGTGTATAGTCACATCGTGAAATTCGAATGTCTGACAGTGACTCTGATCAAACTGTGCTTAGTAATTTTTATATTCTTGCAGTGAATCTGACACTGAAAATGATGAAAACAACCAAATAAAGACTTTCAAATTGAGGATAATGCTAATGTTGTGAACTTTTGGTTTAGTATTACTAGTATTAAGGATCCTCAAATGGACAGAGATGACCCCTCTGAATTTTTAGACAACATAAGTCCTATAAATAAGGCATATGCACACCATTTGAGTACTTTATGCTATTTTCTTACACTAAATATCACTCACTTGTTAATGAGAGAGACCAATAGATATGCAGACAACTTTCTCAGTAACATCCAGCTTAAGAGAAGGTGCCTAGGTCATAAAGGGGGGCCTGTTACAGTGTGTCTGTAACAACTGAAAAATAGGGGGTGGGGGTGGAAAAGGAGTAGAACCATGTGCTAGAGGTGTCTGACGGGCCTCCATGGGCTTTTTTTCCCCAAAAAATAAGTATTAGGACTTATTCAGGCTTCATCCATCAAAAAATTTACACAATTGATACAAGGAAGTCATGTTTATTCTAGGTGTAACAAAAAAATTACATGCATAAATTATGCAAATAAGGTAGCTCATTTGCATAAATTTTGATATTTCAGTTTGATTCATAAAGATTGTATTAGTTCATTCAATTTCCTACAAGAATATATATAGTTTTACATATATTAAGGTAATAGTTTATTTTTTATAAATTTTTTTGCAATGCGAGTGTCAAGCTCTTAAAAAATGCTCCGTCTTTTTGGCACATACACCCCGAAAAGGCTCTGTCTCCAGAGGGTTAAATGCTGGAGTTGCCTATTCAGTGATCTACAATACAAATCATTATACTGAAAGCATCAAAACACAAAATTTCAGTGAGAAAGAGATCTATAGTACAACATAGGAAGAAAAGTACATTGTTGGCCAATGGTCAAATGTTTTGAATGATAGACATGAGTGGAATCAACACATAAATTATTCATTGTGGAACTTATCAAAATATTGTTAGAAGAAATATGTTTTTAAAGAAAGTATCCCATGAATTAGTGCTGCTTCAACTTACTCAAAGCAGAAGAAAGTCAATTTGTAAACTTCATATATTATATTCAAATAATGTCTTTATCTTTATGTTTATTTTTTTTTTTTTAAGAATTATGTACCCATTATTAAATGACAAATAAAATATTAATTTCTATCATTAGTGTTTTTTTTTTTTAAATTTACTTTTCCATTTTATGTTTTCTGATTATCTTATTTAAAAAAATATGTTGTGTTTCAATAATCCAATAAGATAAACTTATTTAAGCAGTCACTCATTTGTGATTTTAATTTGGTACACTACTACTATATTGCGAAAAAAGTGCCCGCCGAATGTTAAATTATTAATTCAATTTAAGTAGGCCTAAAATTTTTAGTACAAATTAGATCAGTGATCAGAGTAGACTATATTACTATATTAATAATTAATACTCAGGGCATAGGCCTCTTTTTCCAAGTCTATTTTATAATCCTGTAGTCTGATTATAGGCCTACTCACTATATGAATAGTTAAAATTTAAAGTTAAGAAAAATCCAGCAAACAGAATTATAATTATAAATTAAATTATAATATATTAAATTTAAATTTGTTAACATGTACTAATCCTTGAGGTCTACATAGTATAAAATGTTTCATATATATTTCTTATGTGTGTATTTATTAATGATGTTAAATTTCTGATGAAAGCAGCATAAGATGTTACCCTATTTCACTGATAATTTATTATTATTTTAGAATTAGATTCTCAAAAGCTTTATTTTTTTTTATTTTGTGTGTTTTAAATTTAGTATGAATCACTATGAAATATGGGTAGTAATAGCTTATATAGTGATCTCATTGAACTTTTCATTTCATATGTTTGAATCTGCTCTTATAAACCTTTAATTTTACCACTATTTCAAAATACTATATTTGCAGATACATCTACTGTTGATTAGCTTTCAGATAAGAAGTGTGTTACTTGTTGAAAATGTCTAAAACAGAGTTCAAAATTGGTCGCCTCAAGGGAAGAACTGACAGTCAAAAACATTTCTGAAACCATGTAGCACAAATTATCTTAAGCCTCATCATTGCTCGCCCTGATTACTATGTTCTGCAATCATGTTTCAGTTCTGGTAGTACATTATAGACAGTTGCTTTCTGGTATCGTCTTAAATTCTATTTCTTATTATTTCTCGAATCCTTTTTCTGATTAGAAAGTTTTTTTTTCAAACAAGAAATACCCATACATTTTTTCCACCATGTCCTTATTTGATAAAGAGATAGGAGATTGTGGAGTGAGATTACAGCAGAGCTTAACTATTGATGACATAGGTCATATTACTCCAGAACTGCAGGCCTGTGGATCATCTGAATCTACTGGATCATCAAGTATAGAAACTATAAATCTTCTGGATCTTCCATGGGAACAGGTTTTGTCCAATTATTTGCTACCGTATCTCAGTATTCGTGACTTGTTTAGACTGCGTGCTGTCAGTTCTGGGTGTAGGGATTTGATTCAAACTCACTTTGGTCTACAGTTTCATGTCAACACCAGTAGTTTGGGTGATCACTTTACTGCTCAAGCATTCCAGATTATGACAAAAAACTGTACCTCACTAAAGTCAGTCAGTGTACGAGGAGCCAAGTCTTGGCTCAACAGTGAAACTCTGATGCCTGTTATTGGTTCCAATCCTCGTCTTGAAAAAATTGACTTGACCGGGTGTTCAGCGCTGTCAGGTGCAACTGTTTATTATATTGGTGTCAACTGTAACAACATCAGACATCTCAGCTTGAAAGATTGTGTATGGTTAAATGGAGACAATTTTTTGTCATTTATGAACAAAAAGAGATGCCTCGAATTTCTGGACATATCAGGATGCTGGAACCTAGATGATGAACTTGTTATCCAACTTGTGCAATTTACTCCTAGGTAAAAAAAAATTTTTATTTACTAAAGGCATTAATTGCAGTAGTTCATTTTACCAGCTCGCTTTTATTAATAAAATAAAATAAGTAGACCTATTTTTATTTATTAATATTTATTGTAGAAATCGAAGTTTAGCCTACTTAAACCATAAATAGTCATGAAATACTGCTTGTCTAATTTATTTTATTTATACCTACTTTGGGGAATAATTAAATAATTCAATTATTGAATGTCTATGCCAAATGTGATTGATAGCATTTTTATGGAAATTATAGGTATAAATAAGTAAAAATAAATATGGAAAAAGAACATATCTTATAGCGCTGGAAGCTGTTTTAAATGAGAGAATACTGCAAACTGTTAATGAAGTCAGTGGGTACGGAAATAAATATAAAACACAAGAAGACGTATGGATAAGGAAATACATGCAAATTGGCTTTAAACAATAATGGGGCAAAGAAAGAGTTAACTAGTGAAAGGAAAAATATACTTTTTTTTAAATGTGATATGTCCTGTCCTGAAATATTTAAGTAATAGACAGAAAGCAACCTTGACCTTAAATCTAATTATGTGTCGCCATAGTAATATGAGTGATTTACTTTCACCCCAGTATAAAGTGTTTGTTCCTTGCTAACCTGTATGGATTAACAGACAGAGCTGTTGGTGCTGTGGCTCACTGCTGCCCAAACTTAGTTCATTTAAGTCTCAGAGGATGCTGGAGAGTAACAGATTGTTCTGTCAAGTAAGAACAAATCTTTCCATTGTGAGTAAAAAGGGGGCTATCTCTTCTATTAAATTTTTTATATAGCTCCTTTCTGCTCTTTGAAGTTGTGTTATTTTCGTTTAGCCTAATAGTAATATTTTTTAAAGGAAAAAGAAAAACACATTCTTGTTCATATTTTTTTTAAAGTAGGAAAAATAGATTTTCTGTCTGATTAATTTAAATTGAAGGATTATAAATACATGTAAAAATGATGCTTTCAAACTTCATTTCAGATTGATTTCTCATTACTGTCTGAAGCTCAATGCGCTGCAGGTAAAGGAATGCAGGGATGTTACAGAAGAGAGCCTTGGATATCTGCGGTCTCGCAAAGTCCGCATAGATAAGCCACCACCCCCTGGATCAAACCTTCATAGACTGGAGCATTTTGTAAACAATCCATCCCCAAGGATTAACATGGTGCTCTAGCCCATAAAGAGAGGCCAATTTATTTTCTGGCCACACTCCCTGATATTGTTAACTGTTGACCATGTGATATTTAAAACTTAATGAACAAGTTAACGAACAGGATGTCAAATAAAAAGAGCAAAAGCCTGGATGAAGTTATTTAGGTCAGGAACATTTCATGACTGATGTCTTTCAAAAATTTTTTTCAATGATGTTTAATTATTAACCTGATTCAATTATACTTGATAGCGGTCCCATTTAAAGTTTTAAAAAAAAAGAAACAAGTATTATTTTAGCTTGATTCTGCTAAACAATTATTAAATTGTTGTCATCTTGAGGTTTTAGTATCATGGTCTAGCATGTCAGTTATTTTAACCACAATTGACACTTTTATTTTAGACTCCAATAATTCGGTAATGACATTTGTATCTATCTGACTTTTGGGTGCTACATTCCATTTTTGATTGTTTTAACAAGTTTCATTTAAAACCCTTGTGAGTTGTTTTTTTTTAAAAAGGAGGGGGGGGGGGGGGGAGGGGGGATGAAATAATATTGTGCATAAACTTTGATTTCAAGTTTAGTTCTGACGCTGTGGAAACGGCTACTGAGATTTAAGCACTTAACATTTTTATGAGGTTAAAAATTTTCACAAGATTATTTATCATGACCCATTAGTTTCAAATAATAAAACAAACATTGTACATCTTGGATCCAATATCTCAACTGCTATTATGTGCTTAAATAAACAATGCTAACATCTTGCATATCAATACTTTAACATGTATTCGAGTTATTTTTTAAAATTGTTTCTCCCATTCTATATTTAATTTAGATTAAAAAAATTCCATGTCTTATAATAAGAACGTTTTATAGTTTTAAAAATCAGGTGAAGAGTGAGACCAGATTTCTTTCTTGCATCTAACCTTTTGTGTGAGTATTAACTACCTATTAATACATGTAGGGCTGTAATGAAAAGGCATCGCAAAAAATGAAAATTTAATCCACTTAAATATGTTGATAGTTGGTTTATAATTTTAAAATCCTGGTCTTTTAAAATCAGGTTATTTTTTGTAGATTATCTATTATTTCTATCTTTTCAATGTTAGTTTTCAAGCACTTTGCTATAGTATTTGTTTTGAACCAAACAAATGGCGTCAAAGGTTAATAAACCCTTAAAGTAGGCCTCAGAGGTTCATAAACAGTTATAGAAGGCCTCAGAGGTTCATAAACCCTTAAAGTAGGCCTCAGAGGTTCATAAACGGTTATAGAAGGCCTCAGAGGTTAATAAACTCTTTAAGTAGGCCTCAGAGGTTCATTAACGGTTATAGAAGGCCTCAGAGGTTAATAAACTCTTTAAGTAGGCCTCAGAGGTTCATAAACGGTTATAGAAGGCCTCAGAGGTTAATAAACTGTTAAAGTAGGCCTCAGAGATAAATAAACCGTTAAAGAAGGCCAAGGGCAATTAAAAGCTTGAGAAAAACAACACAGATTGTTTTTAACTCAATTTTATGCAAATATAATTGGACAATGAAGAAGCGCAGTGAAGATGAAAAAGTATTTTAATGGGGTAAAACTTTATATACATGGGCCTACTTAAGGCACACAAAAAGTAAAAATGAAAAAAAAAAAAAAAATTACACTGTGATGTTTCTTCGTCAGACAAAAATATATACATTCTGTTAGATGTTATTTAATAAGGAAATGATACTTGTTTCTTTAATTGAGCAGGAGCCAAGAAAAAAAACGAGCACAATGTGGTGCATAAGTCCAAAACTGTTGATAATTTATTTTTGTGCTTGAAAGGAAATGTCACAAATGTCTAACGCATTGCATTAGCCACACATACACATAAGATAGTCTTAAAATAATTATATTTCTCTCTTGTTTATATTGGTTATCTCAAATATGCTAGCGTCTGAAGCCTGTTATCAGCGTGCTTTAAAATGGAAATTAAATTGAAGTCATAAAAACGCACTGTGTGTGCTAATAGAATTAAAAAGGAAATATTAACTCACATGGGGACCAAAACAGAGTATGAGCCTACACATTCTTGGGTTCACACACCATTAGAAAGTTATATCATGCACTTCCACGACAGACAGTGCTAATAGAATTAAAAAGGAAATATTACCTCACATGGGGACCAAAACAGAGTATGAGCCTACACAGTCTTGGGTTCACACACCATTAGAAAGTTATATCATGCACTTCCACGACAGACAGCAACAGTTGCTTTTAAATTTCAGCTGTGTGTTTAGCTCGATGGAGGATCAGTATCTCCACACGAGTCGTCAATTTTGCAGAGAAAATTGTGATCATGACTAGTTTTCATTTTCCATGGTCTATCTCATTTTAATTGTTTTCACACACACAAACACATACACACACACATATATATATATGCCATACATACATGTATAAATATAAATATTTATATATATATTATATATATATATATATATATATAAATTATGAAATCTCCTTTTTGTATTTGATTCAAATTCCATCCACCCATACATTAGCTCTGTTTGAAATTATATTTATAAAGCTCATATAAGAGAAAGTGAATCTAGGGCCCCCCGGCCCCAATGGAATATTTTAAAATGGTTGTAATAACTCAGAATAAATCGCAGGGGGTGCAGACAACGATACACCAACGTTTTATCGCAATCGGATGAATGGTATAGGAGCGCATACGGCACGGGGCATAAATACATACATTCATTTATATATATATATATAATAATTATAAAGTTCATTTCAAAAACACGCTTCATCCCCAAAGCGCGGTACAAAGTTAACAAGAAACAAATCTATAATTTACCACATTTAAAACAAACGCAACACTACAAAAACTAATTACAAGCATACAATGACAAACTCGTTCTAGCCATTTCAACCCTAAGCAACACAGCGATTATGCATTAACTGGAAAATAAGGTAGACAATCATCCCAGAAGGTGTCTGCGAAATAGATGTGTCTTTAAATATACCCGGTATATATATATATATATATATTATATATATATATATATATATATATATATATATATATATATAATATATATATATATATATATATAATGTGTAATGACATGCGGTCTTCGACGAGTTGACACGTGAAGCCATTTTGTTTGTTCCCCTCTACTATTGATATATACATCTTCCTTACTTTGTGTTAGTTTTGTATCTTTTGTATGGTTCTTACATATGTATTATGTATATAGGCCTACTTGTAATTATTTTATCCCATAAATATGGAAACTACTTTAGCTTCCTCTTGCTTTGCTAATACCAATACTAACTAGTGTTCTTATTTATTTCGCCCACGTATCTTTGTTCTTCTCAAGCTAACCACATTCGTTTCTTATATTATTACTTTTAAAAAAATATCATTTTAAACGCCTTCGTTGATCCCTTCCCATAAAAAAAAAGCCATGAATCAACTTTGATATTATACAATGACCGCCCCGAGATTACTTTCACCTGGACTTTTGTGGGACTGCAATCATAAATATTTTGCTTCTTTTTTTGTGTGTGTGCAAGAAAACAAGATTCAAAGTACACTTTACTATTCTGGTAAAGTTTAAGCACACACCCTAGGGATGCATCAGTATTTTAAACCCGCGCCGCGTACTCTCAGTAACAAAGATAAGGCCAAACATGAAATGTTAGAAAGAGAATCATCTCTCCAAAGCAAGCGTAATCTCGTATACAGCAATTAACGCCTGATCTATTATTTATGTTAGACTCTCCATCAACTTGAGGACAGCAGACGCTCTTCACACACTACCGGGTACCGCTAATTATTTTGCCTTTGAAGAGTTATAATACACAGACTCACGCGAAATATACATTATGTAAGTCAACAAAATGAAACTAACATACCTCTTACCAATGTTCCCTCCAAGTCACATGTGTCAAACTCAAGGCCCGCGGGACACATGCGGCCCGCGGAACAATTATATTAGACGCGCGAGGTCTTGACCGGCGTAAAATTATAGCAAAGTCAACGCTATGATGTTTCCCAATGCTCACTTTCCTGGAGAAAAAAAATGCTTTTGCACGTCGTTTTAGAAATGTAATTTCGAGCTGTTTCGTAACCCATTTGTAACAGACGCGGAAACTACACCTGTAAATTTGCAGATGGAGCTAATTAGCAAGCGATAACGATGATAGTTCGCTTAACTGACGTTTAGACACAACGGTTAAAACAATTATTAAAATAATTAGTCACTACATTTATAATAAACTAAATAAATGCGATTTATTTACTTTATACGCATTCACTGCGCTGTATGCGCTGCAAAATATACATAATGGCGGCATGTGGCGGTGGCTCAGAATGAGGCTAGTTTGATCCAGTATGTATTGATAAGTATGTAAATCAATAGTTCTTCGTCAAAATATAGATCTGAATAAAATTAAAAACATGGATGTATATTATTATGTTAAAACAACTGTAGAATTCCAGCTGCAGAGTGCAGCGTATCTGTTCGAATTTATTTTTATAAAAAAAATTGCTGCGTGGATGCTCAAAACTCTATTAAAATTAACTTTCACATTCTCTAAATAAAAAAATTTAAAAAAAAAAAAAACAACAATAACAACAATAGACGATATTTGAGATGAAACACTTGGGTATTACGGTTGAAATGAAAGATTTCCTTGCCAATACTGCCCATATTAAATTGACGTATAATTTCACTATTCTTGTAGGTTCAAACGCAGTCCGATATTTTGATTAAGTTTCAAATCTGTGGATGTGTGAGTGAGGAAAGCATGTGAGGGCATCCATCCTTTCATGTGAGGGCATCCATCCTTTCATGTGAGGGCATCCATCCTTTCATGTGAGGGCATCCATCCTTTCATTTGAGGGCATCCATCCTTTCATATGAGGGCATCCATCCTTTCATGTGAGGGCATCCATCCTTTCATGTGAGGGCATCCATCCTTTCATGTGAGGGCATCCATTCTTTCATGTGAGGGCATCCATCTTTTCATGTGAGGGCATCCATCTTTTCATGTGAGGGCATCCATCCTTTCATGTGAGGGCATCCATCCTTTCATGTGAGGGCATCCATCCTTTCATGTGAGGGCATCCATCCTTTCATGTGAGGGCATCCATCCTTTCATGTGAGGGCATCCATCCTTTCATGTGAGGGCATCCATCCTTTCATGTGAGGGCATCCATCCTTTCATGTGAGGGCATCCATCCTTTCATGTGAGGGCATCCATCCTTTCATGTGAGGGCATCCATCCTTTCATACCTTTTGTTGCTCCTAACCCCTTTTTTTAAGACTCATCCTCGATATATAGCAGACGTGTGACTTAAAAGAGGTTAGATACAAATAGTCTCCTGAGCCTCTTGACTTTGATCAGGATGGTTTTCTCATTTGATCCGAAGTAGGTGAATCCTAAAGCCCCTCACTATCACTGAGTGTTGTTCTTAAGTGTACATCAGAGGTGGCATCTCATGCACTCCTGTCGTTCCAGCTTTGAATTGACATCCTCTGGCTCACAGGTCTTGGGAGAATGGGAAATTTTTTATTAATTTTGTTACTTCAAAAATACAATTTGCGAAACTTAGTTTTACCAGTTCATTCATTTGTAACATACATTTTAATTGATCATTTTCATGCTCATAAATGTCATCATAGGATCATAGGCAAAGATGCCAGGCAAAGATTTTTCAGCAACTTTAGATACGTTGCGAATAGCGCAGACCGTGGATACCAACCTGTTATTAGGAGAGAAGCTACTCTCTGACAGCTTCCATTGTGGTAACTTGCCGAAGCAAATCTGATAATCATAATTATCATCAT